AATGTCTGAACACCAACCAATTCTCCAACACTAGCTGGGTGTCCAACAATTCAATTCTGACATCACCCAGAGTTAGTGCAGACCCCACAAGTTCAGGGCTCAGTCCCACAACCCTGTCCCCAATTCAGATATGAGTTTCAAGGCCCCGAGGCCACCCACCCTTGTGACCAACTGCCTATAAATCAAGGGCTCCCACATTCCTCCCCATGTTCAATAATTTGCTAGAATCACTCACAGAAATCAGTAAAACATTTTATCAGTATATTAACTTTAGCAGTATATTACAAAAGACACAACTCAAGAACAGCCAAACGGAAGAGATGCATAAAGCAGTTGAAGCGGGGAATGGGCAAAGCTCCTCCTCTTGGGGTGCACCACCCTCCCAGCACATCAATGTGTTCACCAACCTGGAAGCTCTCTGCACGGTACGTTCAAGTGTTTTTATAGAACTCAATCCATAGCCTCCCTGGTTTCAACACGCTAATCAGGGGTTTGTTCTTTCTGGTCACCAGCTCCAATTTTGAAGCTAATCAGGGGTCCCATCCTGAGTCACTTCATTAGCATAAACTCGGGTATGGGCTAAAGGAGGTTCTTATGAAGAACAAAAGATACTCCAACTATCATTCAAGAAATTCTGAGGATTTTAGAACCTCTGTGCCAGGAACTAGATGAACACCAAATATATTTTTATTATTATACCACAGAAGTAAATTAGCTCTCAAATTCATAAACCCAGGGACTGGCCAGTTAGTTCACTTGGTAGAGCATAGTGCTGATAACACCAAGATCAAGGGTTCAGATCCCCCTACTGGCCACCTGCCAAAAAAAAAAAAGGAAAAGAACCATAAACCCTTTCTTTCTCCAAGAGGCAGAACCCAAAGGCATCTTTCTCTACATCTGACCCTCATGAATGTTCTCATTTTGTACAAATTACACTCTGACTAAACCAACTCTGTGGATTCAAAACTAAACTTTTCACATTGTTGAATTTTACCCAAGCTCTGTATCCTGGTGAATAGTTATGATTGGAGAAACTCATACCAGCACCACTCTTGGTGTTCAGGAGACGCAGACTACTGCAAAGAAATACCCTTCCCATTAAGACTTAGATGATGTTGCTTTTTTACCTATGACAGCCAGACACAGACTCTCCAAATCTCATTATTTGCCTCACGAACAATTAGCTGAACAGTTTTTTTTTTCACTGATATACCAAAATAAATACATATTGGGATGGCCAATTAGCTCACTTGGGAGATCCTGGTGCTGATAACATGAAGGCCAAAGGTTCTAGTCCCGATCCCAGACAGCCGCCAAAATAAAAAACAAAAAAACCACGTCAACCAAACTTTGGTTAAGTTTTTCTCTTTCTAGGCCCCTGAACCTAGTCCCACCTTCAGCAAACTGAGACAGCACAAAATCCCTCCTTTACTGCCCTGCAGAAAACAGGCTGACCTCAGGATAAAGCATTCTCTGATCTAGGATCTGACACTGTCACCCTCCACCAGACGTCCCTCACCCATGTTCTTTCTAACCCTGTTCGCTCCTCCCTATGAAAGAAACGCCCTTTTCTGCCTAACCTCTGAGATGCTTGCAGATCTTGCACTTGGTGCTTTCTCCCATCACAATATTCCTTTAGAACCAGGCCACTGGTTATCTAAATGCAGACTGTTTTACTTGAGGCATAGAAACAGCCCCAGGACAGTAACAATTAGAACCTCACAGAGGGCATCACCTGTCCAACAGCCTGTGAGTCGCCAGCTCTCCAGTGCTCTCTCAGTACCAAGGCCTCCTTCTAGGGTGGGTGTGACCAGGCTGGGACACCTGCAGGGGAGGCTCCCCAGGAAGAACTAGGCCTTCAACGACCTCCCTCTGCAGGCTCAAGATTGGCCTTGGCTGGCAGTGTTTGAAGAATCCAGCAAAATCACTCAAACTCACTGCTTATACATACATGGGAGGAAAAGAAATTGTAAGGTGTTTGTATTTTATAACTCAACAGAAAAAGCACAAGTATCTATCTCTTTCAGACAATAAACACGTCATTTAATTATTTCCATATATCATTTAATAAACAGTCATTTTTGAACATTTCTAGTTCCTGTCCTATAAAATTTAGCATTAATCTCCGAAGTCCAGATAACAGGAAACAAAGCAACGTTATGCACTCTTACAAATTTTCCACACTACCAAAGGAGGGGAACTGATGTTCTGGCGAATCTTTCTAAATCACCAATTTATCTTACATGATTTTTTTTATAGAAAAGTACTCATTTTTCTGCAGCCATTATGGGAGAGAGATTTTCCCTATTTCTATTCCCTGGTAGTTGGCTAAGTCCTGAAATTCCATTTGAAATCTCTCAAAAGAAAAAACCAGACCTGAGAAACTTACTACACACTCTGGGCAGGGGGAAAAGAAAAAAATGGTAAATATGGGTAGGGGGGAAAGAAAAGGTAAATAAGAATTTTTTTTTTCGTGACCGGTAAAGGGATCGCAACCCTTGGCTTGGTGTCGCCTGCACCGCGCTCAGCCAGTGAGCGCACTGGCCATCCCTATATAGGATCCGAACCCGCAGCAGGAGCGCCTCTGCGCTCCCAGTGCCACACTCTCCCGAGTGAGCCACGGGGTCGGCCCGTAAATAAGAATTTTTTTTTTCGTGACCGGTAAAGGGATCGCAACCCTTGGCTTGGTGTCGCCTGCACCGCGCTCAGCCAGTGAGCGCACTGGCCATCCCTATATAGGATCCGAACCCGCAGCAGGAGCGCCTCTGCGCTCCCAGTGCCACACTCTCCCGAGTGAGCCACGGGGTCGGCCCGTAAATAAGAATTTTTAACAAATGGAATATAAGACTAAATATTTAATTTTTTTCTGAAATCTCTTACTTGCTTCTGTAAATATTTCATCTTATATTTCAAGTTCTCTTACTCAAATACAATTTACCTTTGATGAAAAAGATCAAATAAGTGAACAAACCTTTTCAAGGTGACAAACCCAGGGAGGGGCAGTGTTGACTGGAACAGTGTCTGACTCAAGTGTCAAGTCAGGTCATCCTATCACATCCTCCACCCCATCTTGCTCACTGAAGTGCTCCAAGACCACTCTCCCAAGCACTACTGGATTGTGCCCCCGTGTGCATGAAGCGCATTTTGCTTTTCAGGTTCCTGCACCACCTCAATAGGGTGGGTTTTCCTTGTCCTTAGATATTCTTTTTCTCCCTTCACTTGCCTGAGAGAATCGAGGGCAAAAATCATTTGTCTTGTCCCCTCAATACCAGTAACTGACTGGGTGACCATCAACGTCTCCAAAAAAAAGGAAACTTGGGGGGCCGGCCCGTGGCTCACTCGGTAGAGTGCGGTGCTGATAACACCAAGGCCCTGGGTTCGGATCCCATATAGGGATGGCCGGTTTGCTCACTGGCTGAGCGTGGTGCTGACAACACCAAGTCAAGGGTTAAGATCCCCTTACCGGTCATCTTTAAAAAAAAAAAAGGAAACTTGGGTTAAGTAATGAAAAGCTGAACAACCCTAGGGGTTAGCTTTTTAGACTGAGGGTATACTAGAAGATTCCTCCCTGCTCCAGGGCCTCCAGCTGCTCCCCTGAGGGGCCCCACCACGACACCTCAGGCTGTTCTCTGAGAGATGACCCAGGGCCTGACACTCACTAGACACTCCAAGAGACTTGGCAGCTGTAGACATCTGGGTCAGCCCCCAGGCAGTTCTGAAACCCACGACCAGGAAAAGACAGGAGGGAGGGCAGAGGACACATCAGCCTGTACAGTTTTCAAATGGGAACCTCACCCCGAAGACCTGTAGTCTGCGTTTAGGGACGATAAAAGGAGGTGAGACACAAAGATTTTTTAAAGCAAAGTTTCAGGTGATTATTCTCTACTTTCCTCTCAGATGAAAAGTCCATAAACAGAAAACAAATCTTTAAAAAGCTACCCATTGCTTTGTGAAAAAATAATAAACTAAAATACTGTGTCTGTTTGAAATGTAGAATGAAGGACAGCTAGCTGATAATTCTGTTGTGAACTAGACAGGAGAGGTGGGCGTCTGGGAACGCAGGGAGGGACCTGGAAATTTGGGGATTTATCGCCCGCCCCAGGAAGAGCCAGGCTGGCGGGACAGAGGCGTGGACTGGAGACCCTGCTTCGCAGACATTTGGAAGACGCAGGAAAATCGGCCCCCCTTGGAGAGAAAGGAGGGACTGGCGACAACACGGACCACAGCTCCTCCCCCGCACGAGCCCCACGGCCCGAGTCGGGTGTCCCCTGGCCTCGCCTTCATTTATCTTTATGAATTTCCGGGGGGGTCACATCACTCCATAGTTGAAAAGCTTTCTGGGTGGCATCATCAGCATCCTCACACTTCATGTCAGGAGTGTAATTATTGATTCTTTGTTATCAAACAGAGTGAGAAAAACCTACAAAAACCACGTGTAAATTTTATGACAAAGACTTCATTTTTGCTAGTCAATTGGAGGATGAATCATTTCATAGATCAAGAGTCCAGATAAGAAAAATGTGCCTCATTAACTTCAGAAATGGTTTTCTTTGGACAGCTTCCTCCTTAACCAAAATGTGATCTAATTCCTTCTCATTTATGACTTCCAGGTCATCACTGAAGGATTTATTCCATAGAAGCTGCATCCAGTTGTTCAGTCAAAGGATTTATTCCTTTTCCTCCTGCGTTTATTCATCTTGACAACTGTATGTAAATTTTCTCCTGTGTCTTAGCTATAGTAGATTCAGCTTTATTGTCCTTTATTGGCAGCTTTTCTACTCTGCTCTGGACTGGCAAGCCAGACAACCCTTTCTAGAGTAAACAATCATCCCTTTTAGAGATAAGGAATTCTAACATGGAAATAGTGTTAATAACGAGCGTAATAACTTCGTATAGCATACATTATACGAAGTTATACGACGGGTCCCTCGGCCACGGCCGGCTCCGGCCGGTTCCAACCGGCCCCACTCCCCGTCTCGGGACATCCGCCCGACACTCACCATTTCCCGGCTTCCGGGGTGTCCCCGCGTCCTCCCTACGGCTTCCGCGGTCACTGAGGGTCACAGCGCGCCAGAGGCTGCGGCGGAGCCACGTGGGACCTCTGAGGACACAGGCGACAGGTCACGGGCACCCGGGGCTCGAGAAAAGAAGACCCCGCGGGGGTCGCGGAGCGTTGTCCTCGCCTCTTAGAGGCGCATCTCATTGGACAGCTCACAAGGCCCCGCCCCCATGTCCCTGATTGGATAATCCTCCGGGCCTGTATCCTGAGTGACAGGAGAATTGACCCAATAGGTGGCTGAGTGGAGCCGGATTGACAGGCTCTTGGCCACAGCAGCCCTTGTTCGCTGGGCTTCTTCCCTGCGCGCGCCGGTACCTGGGGCCCCGCCCGGGGGATATTTGCTTTTAAGCTGAAGTTGCTTTAGGCTTTGCGGATCAGGGGCTGCTGGCTCTCTGTGTTCCCTGTGCCGTCCCTGCTCTTTTCTGCTGGAAGCGAGGTTACAAGTGTGCACAGTGCATTACAGACAGTGTCCAATGGAGCAGTTACCTTGCTTCAGAGCAGAAGGGGGTCCCAGACCAGGCCTGGCAAGACTGGAATAGGAGGGAGGGCCTGGTGTTCTTGGGGGTCAGGAATTTGCTATGAGGCTGTTGGCAGCACGGCCAAGGCTTTTTCACACTTTATCTCTGAATCTACTCATTCTAAGGCAAGAAAAAAACACGCCAATAAGGGAATAAAATTATTAAATACATGAAAAGAAGTGGAGTTTTATGGCAGCAATATTCTATGAAGGAATGAGAAAAGCAAACATTTGAACTAGCTCGGATAAGCAGCCTGCTTCACCCACAATTCACAAGGAAAACCCGCATTCAGAGATTAAATATATGGAGTCAAACTCTGACTGCTGAAATGGAGCTCCATACGGAATCAGTCCCTGGTGATGAGACAGGGACACCTAAGAATTTAACTCTGGGAGCTTAACATGCCCTCCTGTCCCCTCCTCACAGTGTAGAAACGCTTCCTCCTTCAAAACCTTCATTTTCTTCTGCAGGAAACTCACACCTGGAGTCCGTTAAAGGTTCTGACTGTTAAATAAAAATTATCAAAGCCCACTGTTTTGGACTAAGTTCCTGCACTAGGCCCCAACACACCAGACTAAAAACCAAAATGGAGTCACCTCTGCTAAATTCCATGTCATTTAGGTTGTGATCTGACCTTCCAAAACGTCAGAAGAAAGAGTAACAGCCAATTTCACAAATATGCCAGTTTAAATCCTATAATGAAGTTCCCTCTGCTTTAATCCTTACACAAAAGAGATAGCCTGAAGTAACGTATTGTTAACTAATCCATTATTTTCCTATTGTTCTGTCTCCCTGTCCCCACCTACAAGGAAAGTAACTTTGAAATGGCCAATCCCGGGCCGGCCCGGTGGCGCACTGGATAGTGCGCCGCTTGAGGAGCGCGGCGCTCCCGTCCGAGGGTTCGGATCCCACGTATAGACCGGTTCCCGCTCACTGGTTGAGCGAGGCGCGGGAGCAACACCGAGGCTTGCGATCCCGTTGCCGGTCCCCGGTCCAGTACGGGGGCAACACTGAGGGTTGCGATCCGTTGCCGGACACGGAAAAAAGACAAAAAAAAAAAGAAATGACCAATCCGCTTTTTGTTCTTTGTTTCTGCTTTCTTCTGCCTTTTCTGTCTATAAAGCTTTTGTTATTCGTAAAAGACTTAGGAGAACTTCTCTGACTCTGTTGGATGGTGTTTCTGGGGTAAGTCCTCACATTTGGGTCCCAATAACCTTTACAAAGTTATTTCTGCCTTGACAGCCTTAATTTCAGTTGACATGACCTAAATAAACCCTCAAATTCATAAACCCTTTATCCAGGAGACAACTCAACTGAGTCTTGCTCTAAGCCTGACCTTCACTTATTTTCTTCATATATGCAAATTACAGTCTGATTGTGACTTTATGCATGCCAAAACCAAAATATTGTCCACAAAACAGCCCCCAGACAACCAGAGTTACAGCCTCAGAAAGAACAGAACCCCCAACTTTATCTACATGTTGGTCTCCCGCTTTCCAGTGCTCTGCAGCTTCTCGTCATCAACCCTCCTTCTGTAGTTGTTCTGAGCAGCTGGAGGCCACCTTCAGGGCAGGGCAGGCTGCCCAGGAAGCACCAAGGGCAACTTCATTTCCCTCCCTCCGCAGGCTCAAGATTGGCCTCAGGCCTCTGCTCCTCACTCCAGGTTATGCACCTGCTTCACTCCAACTGTGATAAACTAAATAAGACAAACACCCTCAATACCACTGTTTTAATAAGAAGCCAGAGTATCCCTGCATTTCTCCTGTTTTCATATATGAGTACCTTTATTTATTTATTTATTTGGTGACTGGCTGGTACAGGGATCCAAACCCTTGACCTTGGTGTTATAACATCATGTTCTAACCAACTGAGCTAACCAGCCAGCTGACAAGAATACTTTTTTTTTTTTTCTAAAAGATGACCGGTAAGGGGATCTTAACCCTTGACTTTGGTGTTGTCAGCACCACGCCCAGCCAGTGAGCAAACCGGCCATCCTTATATGGGATCCGAACCCGGGGCCTTGGTGTTATCAGCACCGCACTCTCCCGAGTGAGCCACCGGGCCGGCCCAAGAATACTTTTAAAAGTTCATGGAAAAATAGAATTGAAAGAGTACAAAGTTCTCCATGAAATTTTTGAAGTTCCTTCATAAAGTAGAGGAGGAAAATTCTAAGATATTTTATCTGAATTTAAAACTGGCCAATAAGCCCTGGCCGCTTAGCTCAGTTGGTTAGAACATGGTGTTGTTACTGAAATCCCAAAAGTCCGTTTGCTCCCTGCTCAACAGGCAATAACTGAAAGACAAGAGTTGGTGTAAGGAAAGGCAGCCTTTGATCGGGAAGCCGGCAGCCTGGGGAAATGGTGGACTCGTGTCTCAGAGACCATCTCCACTTTTCCCAGACTTGCCAAAGAGTTTTACAGGGACAGGTGGTAGGGGGCTGATTCATGGTGATCTAAGCAGGGACGTGCAGGCATAATCATAAAATTGCAGATAAACATCCAAAGAACTTCTCGGGTGGGAGCTGATTCATGGTGACCATCCTCCATGAAGTCAAGTCACGGATTCAGTTCCTGTTAACCTCAAAAAGATCTAGTTAGTAAGCTAGTAAAGTGGCCATCTGGGTTAATAATTTCTTCTATGATTATTCTATGTACAGTGTGAGCAGGAGTCATTATGTTCTAGCAGTCAGGTGAACAGGAATCATTGTGTTCTAATGTCCAGCTGCAAGCTCTGAGGTTTGGGTTACAAGAGTAAGAAAAAAAAAAAAACTTTTAAATTTAGAAGTTTAACAAAATGGAGTTACTTCTGTTCAAGCTCTTACAGTGTTATAACACCAAGGTCAAGGGTTTGAATCCTCATATTGGCCAACTGCAAAAATAAATAAAGTAAAAAAATAAAATAAAACTGGCAAATAATTATTCCTTTGAGAAAACGAAGATACCAGTAAACTATTATTTTCACATTACTACATTGTTATGTAAAATAACAAATCAAATGTGAACTCTCCTCTTTTCTGCTTCAGTGGCTGCCTGCCCTTCATGGTTGTCACCAGGTGGTTGGTGCCTGAGGACTTACATGTCCAGTTTATCTACTTGAAACTCGCTCAATCCCACCATCACCCCCACTGTCCCATCCAGTCATTTCTGTAGCTAGATCCTAACCATTGTATCAGTAGCTTTCCCTTTCCAGCAGTCTAAATGGCTCCAGGTTGAATCCACCTTTGGCTCTCTCATCCCTCAATTTAAATTATTCTTTTTTTTTTTTTTTTTTTTTTTTTTTTTTTTTTTTTTT